GAAAAGGCAGCAATGTTATCAGCAAGAAGATTTATAACATTGTTTACTTCCATAAATTGAACTACTGAGTTCGAGATTACATACAGACTATGAATTTTGAAAAGTCTGACTAATGTTTACAGCTTGAATTTTCTTTGTTAACGATAGAGGCAAAGATACGATATCGAAGGGCCATACAATTTTTTTTGACTGATAGTCTCCTTAGAATTTAAACTATATTTTAAATTCGATTTTTAAATCAAAGTTTATATATGATTTTATAATTTTTTTCTTAAACAACTCTCACAATAGACTTTGTAAATTAGTGAATTATTTTTTGGTTTATTATTTTCAATAATCAAACATTGTAATCAATCTAAAAATTCAAAAACTTAAATCCCTTTTCAAAATTTGAGGTTTTACGTTTCAGGGTTCTACGTCATACGTAGAATTCGAAAATAGAATAAAAATGTTTTTGTCCGTTCGCCGTCCGCGCATTTTCTCTGAAACTACTGGAAATTTTGTTTATTTTATGTTATTATTGTTTATTATTTGAATTTAAAATCAGAGTTCATTCGAGGATGATCCTCCTACATCAGCATTACTATCCGCCTTTTTCCTTCAAGATGACGGTAATGTACCGATTTCAATGAAACTTGGCTAAAGTCTTCTTCTCGATGCCCTGTACATTTATCTATAAAACATACTTCAACGAAAAGAAGCTGGAAAAAAAGTTACGAGGGGTGATAAAATTAGATTGTGAATAACTTAAAAAGTATACACTATTTTGTTGATATGATTACTTGAAATTTTCTATTAAAAAAACAATAACGTTAAAATCGGACATTTGGAACAAAGATATGGCCTCTAGATATTTTTTGTATGTTCTACTGCAAAGGTTATATCCTTTGTTTTGGTTTTTGATTTTTGAAAGTGTTACTAAAGTAAAGCTATTTTCGTTTTTTTAGCAAATTCCTAATGATGAAAACATAAGCTGTTTAGGCCAAGAATAGGAATCATCTTTTATTTCTTTATCTTTGTTACTAGGAAACTAAAGTTACTTTAGATGTACAATTGTTTGAAAATAATAAACCATTGTGAAATAATTTGCAGCATTTTTTAGTATATACAGAACAGCAATAACAATGAGGTTTAAATTAATATTTCATTTGATACTTTTCTTATTTAAATTGTTTTGTTTTTTTTGTAAAAAAAGTTGATAAATTTATTGCTATATTTATTAATCACAAAAATTAACGCTTTTTAGATTGTCATGACCAGGCTTGTGAACGAACACATACTTAGCAACGAGTTTGTAAATCTAAATTTTAAAGTTTAAAAGAAAAAATATAAAATTGTGTGTTATATCCTACATATTATAGGTAATATCCTACAGGAAACATACTGTAAATAAACAATACAGGTTTACTGGGTCTAGAAAATAAATTGTAATTTTAAAAAATATTAACGATTAGACTGCAACGGCACCAGTTTTTTTTTTGTTTTTTTTTACAGTCCTTCATGAAGGACTCAAAATAATTACATATAATTAAACATAATTTTATATAACTTCTTTCTTTTTCTTAAAAAATAAAGAAGCCTTCCCAAAATCAAATCCTGGATCCACTACTGGTTATATATATGTATAACATTCGATTTAGGGAAGCTAAAGAGTTTAGAAAAATTAATATCTATAATAAAAAATAGTTGGGAATATAAATGGGAAAAAATGAAAAACCTTAATATTTATTTTTAGCTTGAAGAACCAACAATTTAATTTTTTACTTCTAATAAACGTAATATTCTTATGTTTTATTAAACTAAAATAAAAAAGAGGTAATTTTCTCAGAGACTAGGGTAATTGCAAGAGACCTGCATACAAAAAAAAAGATTTTATGTATCTGACGTTCACTTGAGAAACATTTTTATATTATTTTATTGTACTGACTTATTTTAATGTTCGACTTATAAAAGTTCGACCCTTTTATAAATTGTAACTTACAGTATCCTTGTAGTTTAATATAAGCAAGTTTAAAATTATTTATAATTGGAACTATACATCATAGTTTGATCGGTCCATTATTTTTAATTTATTGCAATCCGCAAACCCAAGATTGCGATCTGGAATGCTACCAAGAAACAGGACGAGCGATAGACCTCTTTGCCATTTGGTTTTTATTATTATTTTGTTTGATGTCACATTTAATTTATGTCTGACTGGTAACCCAATTAATACGCATCAGATTTACAGCAATGTGTAAATTTAATATAGAAATTTTCAAAAAGATAAATAACCGAAACATAGGCGTAAGACATAATATTATTATTTAATAATATGGAAATAAAATAATTATAGGGATCTCAGGAAATTATAAATTCCACTTGGACCGGCTTGAAGTTGTATTCTTAGACTTGATCACTATTTCCGAAAATGTTGATAATCTGTTTGTATATACAGAGAAAACAAAAAGTTAAATTTAAAATGTAAATAAAGGAAGAGAGGTGTTTATAATAATATAATATTAGTATAAACCCTTCTTATAGCTCTCATACAATTCAAAATTCTTAATCGAAATCAGTTCAGCCGTTTTCAACAGAAAAATAGTCAAAAAAGTGTTACAGACTAACACTAGAATTTGAAAGATACTTTCAAATCTCTCTAGGCATTTTATGAGCTCTTCGGTTGATAGAATGACTAACTCCAATTTTAACATTCTTTATTATTAATTTTAGTGATGTTTCTATTAATTGTGTGGTCTAAAGTACACACCTTCTTTATGTTATATATTTTAATTCTGTTTAATTTCTAACTACTCCATCACTTGCTAGACAAACGCTCTAAACTTTCAATTAATTACAAAAGACTTATCTACATAACCATTATAATACCTATATGGACATATAGAGTTGAGCTTTGGGGCTCCAAACCATCGAATCTAGAAGTATTTTGTTTACTTCAATCATATTAATAACCATGAGTATATATTTTAATTTCTGACATCCAAGTAACTAATGTTGTCCATGATATGTCTTGGTCTTGCATTTTGCTTAATTAAAATAGTACATAAAAGGTACAATAATAAGAAATCACGACTTCCAAGATGCTTGTGAATGTTTAAAACATGATAAAAATGATTTTCTTCTCTATTCAAACTGAACACGGTATTGGCAAAATCCACATTATTGAATATAATAGGTATTGGTATTGGTTTTAAATCTTAGTAATTCTAGTAAAATGTTTTACCAAATATGTTCACGTTTGATTTACATTCTCATATTTCTCAACTTTTTAGATTTTCAAATATTACTCCGTGGTACAGACCTCTTTATATCAAATTATTAACACCCGCCTGAAATTTCGTAAATAGTATTTTCTGATCGTAAGCTACAAATATTTTATTTTCGAATATTCTCGGAATTTGGGCGTTTTCAATCTGGAGGTCGGTAAACTTTGTCTATTTAATTAGGTAATAAAATCTCATGAATACCCATTTTCTTTCCACTTGAACCTTAAGATAACATAACCACAGAATTGAAAAAAAAAAAGGTGACCTACAAATATATTGGGCCGTTTGGCGTGACTTCCACTCGCAAATGTCAAAATAATGTAGTTATAAAGGCTAAACGGCCCTATTTTTCTTTTTCGATTTTGTGATGATATATTACGACTCAAGTGAAAATCAAATGGGTACTCTTGGGCTTTTAGTACGTAATTAAACAGACAAAGTTTGCCGATCTAATTGAAAACGCCCCAAATCAGAGAATTTTCGCTAATAAAATATTCGTAGGTTATGATGAGATGAAGCTGTTTACGAATTTTCAAGCAGAGGTTAATAATTTGATAAAAAAGAGTCTGTGCCACGGATTTTATTGGTGGGGGCTATAGATGGGCAAATGCTATTCTGAATACTGAGTACCTAGCATTTTTCTCAAATAATAACTTTTTTTGGGTACCAAAGAATTTAATTACTACTTCATTTGATGTCAAACGATTAACTGAAGTAGTGATTGAATTCCCAATAGTGAGTCAATATGAGTAAAATACTTTACTCCGTACTCAGAGTTTCATTTGTCCATCTTGGTGGAAGGATTGCAAGGTAGCAACGTTTAGCTTCCTCACTCCCTTGCGATCTCCCTGTATTCTCGAATCATAGAATCCTTTTTGTCAGTCAGGACGTTTTATCAATACACGCTTTAGCATTCTTGAATCTCGATCTTTCCACTTTGTTTTGATAGGTTTAGTTGTACTTCTAAGACAATCCTATGCCGGAACTGAAGAAGTAGATGTTAAGCCAAAGAAAAAGATTCAAAGTTGTGCTTGTATGTTTCTGTCTTAACTTTTTTTTTTTATTTAATGAAATTTATTACTCTATAAAAAATACAACTAGTAAAATTGCACAGATTAGAAATAATGACTTGAACAAACTTGAAGAGATACTGCCCATTGGTAGCATTCCCTATTTAATTCTAGGTGAGAGGATCTCGAGACCATCCTCTTTTCAGACGCCTAGGGAGATTATCAGGAATCGAGGAAGAAGCAAGGGTGGAAACAAGTGGATTCGGATGGGACTGGAATTTATCATGAAAGGATAGATATCTGGTTCGGGCTAAACCAGCGGCCTGTCTTAACATCAATAAATACAGGGGAAATATTTTTATTTCTGTATTCTTTTCAATTATGATATAGTTTGTGTGATTATTGGTATGATTGATTAAGAAAATCGTTTTTCAATCTCGTGGTAAGCAAGATTCCCAATAAATGCGGTCACAGCCGACAACAGCTATATATAGACCCCATTGTTTCCTTCAAACATGTCGAATCATTGTCCCTCCTCCCACAACAGTATTCCCAGTTTACATCAACGGGTTCAAAAGGAAACTTATGCTTCCGGCGATCAATGGACGGACGGGATACGCGATATTTCGCAGCCGGTTGCCAAAATGTTTTTTAGAATCGTTATTCCAAGTGACCTATAAGGCCGGACTCCTCAGTGGAGCTAGCTCAGTCCCCCCGAGCAGAGATGAGCCATCGGAACCTCCACTTGGCCGAGCAGGACAAGGTAAGTCAAGACAGCGACAGTGATCCCTGTCAGCTGACGGAGGTGAGCGTCCATTATAGCAGTAATTTTAGAACTGGGGTTTCTACAAGGCCCATCGAAATACTGATTTGCTTTGGTAATTGACTTCGAGTGAAACAAATTGTTTTTCGATTATTCAAGCGGATATGTTTTTGTTAAAGCACATGATTTATGTTTCCTTACTACTTCCTTAACAGCTCATTATGTTGCTATACCATATCTTCATATTAAAATCAAAGACCTATAACTTGTATTTATATAATATAATATACTAAAAAAAACAATATGCAGGGTGTTCCCAAAGTAGAGGTAAATTTTTATCGGAGTAATAGCAGATATCAAGAGCTACAAAAAAGTATATATGAACAATGGGCCAAACTTCAGCCGGAAAGTCGGAAATCCAATTTTTGTGTTTTTTTAAGAAAGCCATGTTTTTTGTTGAATAGTAAGCGACAACTAAAGAAATAACTAATTAAAAATTGTTTAACTGTGAACTAGACAAAATGTACTTTCAATAAAAATGAAGTTTGTCATTTTTAAAACCATTTAAAGAGGACTTTTTAGTGGCTAAACTAAGCTAAGTTCTGCTTTAAAAAAAATTCATATATTGTTCACGATTTTTTTTTTTTTCATCATCCAACTATACCACAGATACGCCACTTTTAGGAAAACTTCTTCGTTTATTAAACTTTAAGCACCTGTTGATTAACTTGAGGTTTATTAGAAAAAAAAATTAAGATTCACCTCAAGTTGTATGAAAAATTATTTGATTTTTTAATATCTCAAATAAAAGTACTCCTGTTTTCAGCAAAAATGTTTACAATTAATTGTTGTAAAGCTGTTATTTCTTGTTTTTCTGTATATTACAATAAACATAATAGCCTAAAATCCACTTTTCATTTATGAAAAAAATAAATTCTAAAAATACTGATTCTTCAAATATTTTTCATGTTAAGTGGTTATGAAACTGTTTTTCACCCAGATCTCTCTCTAGACGGAATTGATCCGTATTTATAAGTTACAAACTAGATGTTCCTGATCCCAATATGAACGTTTTTATGAAAGTAATTTAATATATCGGCAGGTTTCTTTATTTGAAATGTAATTTTTAGGACAAGAAATGTTAATTTATTTTGTCTTTATTTAATGGGCATTTCCGAGTTTTTAGTGCCTAATTAAATAAACAAAGTTTGACAATCTCCAGATTGAAAACACCCCAATTCCGATAATTATGTGAATAAAATAGTTGCAGGTTATGATGAGATGAAACTATTTACGAAGTTTCAGGTAGATGTTAATAATTTGATAAAGAGGAGTCTGCACCACGGACTAACAATTTTAAAATTTTACATTTAATTTCGAAATTTAATTTAGTTTCCATAGAAACATTTTACCTCCGTTGCATAAAATAAATTTTCAAAAATTAAAATTCATTATTTTCTCGTTCTACAACTTTATACATTAGATATGATTTTTCTGAAATCCTCAGCTTTCGAATGAACTTGTAAAAATATTATTTCCCTTTATTTCCTCCGTTCTTTAATTATCAAATTACTTCATAGTTTATATTTACCCATTTTTAGTTTATACCTACTTTGAGATACGTCTAATTATTTAAAAAAAAAAAAAATTAAAGGTAGTTTAGGCGAAGAAATTTCGAAAATTCGGCATTTAAGACCTGCCATACTTTATCTACTTGTTAATTAATACTTTTTTATTTTACATTGCTATAACGAGTTTAATCACATTCGTTTGAGCCGTTTTCGAAAAAAATATAAACATGTATAAAATCAATGAATTCAGGTTTGACGATTTTGAGGAAAAATTCTCTGTCGTATCGTATCCGTATGGTATGTATGTACCAACATTAAAAAAAGTAATGTCCGTTTTGTACGAATGTTTGGTCAGGGTTGTTGATAAACATAAACCACTTCGAGAGATATTATCACAAGATTTTTCACAATCACTTGGGTGATTGTTTGGTTGTTTCCATATCCGCGAGTTGATTTCCAACTATTTTCATGTGGCTTGGAATCCGTACTGAATGTGTCGACTTTCTCAAGTTTTGGAGCAAGTTGAGGTACTTGTAAATTTGTAGTGATTTATCACTTCAACGACGACAAAACAAGTTGGTAAATTTGTATGAATATGTTGTTTATGAGTCTTCAATAAACTAAATAGCTACTAATTTGACATCCGGCAAACGTAAAAAAAAAAAAATCTTATCCTAAACTTCTGTCTTGGAAAATTTTATGTGGAAAAAAACCGACAGTATGCTATCTTTCACTCCCAATGACTAGACACTTCAAATATACAACTATAAATAAACAGAACGCAGCGCAGAAATATTCCAGGGAAACAATAGTGAATCACTACGCCCAATTCATTCTCTATCTCGTGGACGTTCAGATGTTTACTAATTTTATCAATAGGATAAAATCATGGATTTATTGTTGGAATATTAATAAATTTATTAAAGTAAATAATTTGAGTTCTGTAACATTGACAAAGCTTCAGCCAATATTTTCACAACCATTTAAATTAAATTATTTTTTGTCACTTGAATAATTCTGTGTCTCGGAGATGAAGGACATCATGTCAATTTTTTCATTACATAATTCAGTAACAAATAAACAAATTTTAGTAATGTAAAGTTATGGAAAATTTGTCACCTGAACAATTACAAAAATGTGTCATGGTGTCCTTTACCTCCAGAGTACAAATTTAGTTACAAAAACAAATTTTAATAGTTCAAAGTCATGGAACATTGACTCTCTTGATGAATGTGTTTTGTTTCAGAAGTGCTCATTTTTATTTCCCTTTTTTATCTTATAATTTTTTATTATCATTATCATTTTTAATTATTATTATAACTTATTTTTTTTAATATCTGTGTTTATTATTGTATTATAGTATTATTATTGTATGAATGAACACTTGTAGCCCTAATACTTATTTTCTTTCAATATGGCAGATTGTATCATTATTCAATAAATATATATACATATATATATATATATATATATATATATATATATAAAACACCTTATACTCAAGAGATGTTCGAACAGTACCATAAATTCTGACGGGATCCCGAAGACACTATTCGGCTCGTAGCCAAAGTGGTTTTCTGCCACATTACGTTTTTTGCCTGACGTGGGGTGACCAGCTGTTTGATTGGAGGCCATCATCTTCATTTATCCTGGGGATCGCTTTTCTGATGGTTTAATAGAAATTTGTCTTGTCTTGGATATAATCCATCTGGGTTTTAACGATGTTGTGCTAAGGTAAGTGGCAGGACAAATTTAGATATATTTATATATACTTTTGTTTATTTATATTTTCGTATTACTTTAAAAAAGAAGAAACCTGGTTCTTTAAATTAATTGTGCATAAAAGGTATAGATACATTATATTATTAGCATAGGCAAAAGCATGATATTAGATTTTTGAACATATAAAGGATATCCGCAGTAAATTTTTGAGGTAGCTGAACTTTGAAGTTTTTTTCTAATTTCGACATAATTTATCTATAAAAAAATATCAAACAACCCCTTTTACATTTCAAATATGGTTACAAGAAATGCCCAATGTTATGATATCATTAAGTGATAACTTAACACAGCTTTTAGTGATTCGAGGTTATGATATGTGACTTAATGACTTAAAGCAATAAGCCAACAATATGTATAATAACAGAATATAAAGAAAACTCATTGGGAAGATTTTATATTTAAATACAAAATACATGGTAGGTAATTTAAAAGCGAGCTCGTAAAGGTTAATAATTATCATGCTATGTATTGGTTTATAATTGTATGCTATGTAATAATAAATAATATATATACTATATATAATATAATCTTAATATTATATATTATATAATACTATATATAATATAATATTAATACTATATATAATATAATCTTGTTAATATTTTGCTGCGTTAACCAGCTTTCTCCATATCTGTCTATTTTGGACAACTGCTTTTCAGTATTTTGCAAGTTTGCATCTTTGTTTATTCGATCTATTCATCTGGTTTTAGCCTTCCATGTGGCCTCTTGCTTAGTATTTACATGTTGCAAAAAACTTTAGATAAACTGTATTGATTCCAGCCGGCGCTGTTAGGTATACCATTCGGTATAACAAACAATTCAACACTGAAGTGCAAGAATACAATCCGGAAAGAAGAAACGACTCTAAGTTTAAGTAAAACTGAACAGTTATATAAAAATTAAAAAATATATTAAAAAAAAATACACCACAATGTCAATTTCTGGTTCAACGAGGGAATGAATTTTAGAAAAACGTTTTCATAAGAAAATTCAATAGCGTCCCTTGAACCAAAGTAGTTAAATAATAATTACAATAAAAGGGACTGTTAATTCAAGGTTAGGTGCCAATAATCATCATCATCGCTTTATACATTCGATCCAACGATTGCTTTATAAATTCATCTCTGCAAGAGCAGTCTTAAACAAAATATTCTTCTCTACTTCTCGGTCTAATCCTCGGACGTTCTGGCTTATTAAACATTTAGGAGTTTGTTACTAAGCCGTTGTATTCAAATAATCAATTAAAATTAAATAAAATTTTATTTTCTCGATAGTATTTAAAGATTGAAAAGAACTAAAATATTGTTCACCTTCATAATTACAAAGCAATATAAACTGACTGGCTAGATTTCAAAACAGTTATGAAGTGTTGCCAATATTCTTTGCTACCAACGGTTTTAAGTTTTCAGTTCTAAAACCAAGATATATTTTACAGCATAGACCCAACCCCGACTAAGAATATATTATTAAATATCCATATGGTTGGCATATGAATGACTTGTCATAAAAATATTACTTTAAAAATATTTATAATTCTATGAAAGCTATGGGATAATGAATGATTCGTTGAATAATAGTTTAGTATAAAGTTTTCCTATTATTAAACATATTGAACGTAGAGTAAAAATCCGTTGTGAGATTACTTATTCTGCATGAAAAATGGAATACTGTCGTTTTTAAATAATGTCAGGAAGAACAGCGCTGATCTTGGATCCAAATGTCCGCTTTGAGAGCAATGACCTCTATTAGGCGGGTGAAGTGGAAAGGGAAAAGAAGAACACTTACGATAAATGTATCCCTTTCCTAAAAGGGAAATTCCGTGAGACCTTCGGAGAGAGAGAGTTCACCGTGAGAGGCCTCTGGTTTGGGTCTCGCGAAACTATCCCAAAAAGAACAAGGAGCTTCCTTGAGGAACTAGGTGTCGACATTAAGGACGCAGCGAGGATGGCTGAAAATATAGTCCTCGACTCCCTGGGAATCATCCACCACCACGTGCATGGCTAGCCCGAGAGTTTTAATTTATGTATTTATTTAATGAAAAATTGAAAACAATAGAGATAAAGAGAGAAAGGGAATGTTAAATGTTGAAAAAAAAAAAGCAAATGAAAGGAAGGAAAAAAAAAATCTACTTTACTAATATAAACTAATACTTCTGTATATTTATATATAAGTTCATTTATTGTCCTAAGGATTGAAGAGTATGCTGTGTATATAGCAACCCAATATAATTGGGCAGCAATCTTTTATATTTTATATTTTTTGAAAATAAAGTGCTTCTCTCTCTCTAAAAACCTTGTCTTTAGAAAAAATTCTCACTTTCGAAGTGTCGAATCTTCAATATTGTAATAATCATCAGGCTCAATCATCTGTTTTTGATATATCCTATATATTTATAGGATCCTATATAAACATGGATATCAGCAAATATATCATAGTTATGCTTCACTTTCTTTCACAAGCGGATCCAGGATTTAATTTTTGGGAGGGGGGAGGAGCTTTAGCCCGGAAGCTTTTTTTTTCATAGAAATAACGATAATTACTTTGAGAAAAAAGAAATAAACTAACTACCTATATGAAATGGTGTTTAAGTGATTCCTAAAATGTAATTACACGAACAATAATACTTTAAGAGATAACTTTTAATATTTTTTCCATAAAACATGATTATATTTTACCATTTTGGGGGGAGGGGCTTCAGCCCCCGTAGATCCACCTGTGCCTTCCTTAAAGAATATTGCCATTAGCCTGGCTTGTAAGCTCCGAGGACGCCCTGGTACAATACCAACCCGTAAGCTTTTACTGCCTAGACGGTTGCCAAACCACACCCATCTCAAATGGACACCGTATATCGCCTAACAATATCCTACAACCTACGACTACCCAGTGCAGTGTCTATCATCTTCAGTCTTAAGTCTGTTTCTCTTTCTGGCAAACGATATCTGGTTTCACGAAGAGTTCAATTGTGTAGAGGATAAGGATAAGAGCGTCAGAAAGCATAGCGACTCTTGATAAGGTAAGGCTTCAACCTGTATCCATTAAAATGATTGAACGATCTAATCCGAGAATGCTATGAATCTATCGAAGTAATTCCAACGTTAACGTTAAGCCATTCTTCTATCCATACAAGATGCTTATTTTGAATAAGTGACTTTAAGCTCATCTGTTTTACATTCTTCAAATCCTGCAAAAAACTACTGCATAATTTATCACTTTAGTCAAAAATGTTAATTACCATATATTCACGAATCCTTCGACATCAATCGTTAATGTTAATTGACAAACACTTGGTGCCAGATTCTAAATGATTTCTAGTTTTGTAAAAGTATATCTCGAAAATACTTCCCGTTCGATCTTTTTATCGGTCTATTTTATAATGATGTGCTGTTAATTAAAGCTTGTTTATAGACAACTAAGATTTGTTGTGTCTAATTATCTAGAAAATCTGATGTCTAGATGAATCTTATAACTTAGAAGTATCATTTCGTAACTGGAAAGTTGGTCAAATTAAGCCTCAACTGTTATAGTTTTGTTTAGAACATGACCTTTCCAAGGGAACTTCAGAGTTAACAGTCAATCTAACACTCTTCGAAATGTTACATAATAGCCCTGCCTATTTAACTAATATGTTTCTTGATGCTAGCTTCTAACGTTTGCTAATATAATTTTTTTTTTGTGAAAGTAGATAAATTATATTTAAAATAAAATATTTGAAACCGGGCTAATAAATACAAAGAGAAAAATAAAACATTTATATAAAATACATTCCTTACCTGAAAGAAAGGCATAGCCAAGAATTTGAAAATCTTACAATTAATTAGGATCAGGAGCGCTCGAAATTGAAGTTATACTTTTCAGTTCCAGATTGAAAACAAAGCAAGAAGAGAGTTTTGATTAAAAATTATAAACAAAAAGTAGTAAAGAAATTTATGCTCTTACACATTGTCATTTTCTTTTTTTTTTCTGTTGGCATTACAGATCTTTTGTCGCCTTAACAAGCCTGTTCCATCTATGCCTGTCTTGGGCTATTTCTTTCCACTTATCTGCACGCAGCTCTGTTGCATCTTTGTTGATTCTATCTCAAATCTTTCAACACTTTTTTCTAGGGTGCTGGTTAGTGTCCTGGTCTCACAGCCATTTATTAGAACTGGCTTTATCATACTATTGTACACCCTTAGTTTGAGATTTCTTGAGATTTTTCGGGATTTCAATACCTTTGAGAGGGAGAAGAAAGCTCTGTTTTTGCTAGTTAACGCTGGTCTATTTCTGTTTATTGGTCATTCATTGAGGTTATTGTGAAACCGAGGTATTTGAATTTTTCTAGTCTCGGGAATGATTTTTCTTCTATGCAGATCATGTTATTGAGGTGGATTTTTCGGCTTATCATCATATATTTTGTTTTGTCTTACATCATCTGCGTATCCAATAATTTATTCCGTTCAAGGATTTATTCCGACGTGGACCCCACCATTTTCTTATGTTGTTGCTTTTATTACCTTCTCCAGGTCTAAGTTGAACAACATCAGTGATAGTCCATCTCCCTGCCGTAAGTCCGTTTGAACTTCAGATATTTATAGGCTTCAGATACTTCACCTATTCATTATGATCACCTAAATAAACTAATTATTATTAAATTAATAATTTTATAATTTTTTTGGTCGTGCAGAACAATAATCTTTTGTAATTAAAACGCTGAGGTTGGTTTATAAGTTTATACCTCCTTATTACCTAGGTGTAAATGTATCTCATGATGATCAAAACAAAGAGTATGTTTTAAAATATTATAATTACAAAAAAATTCAACAGCGACATTCCTTGTTTCTCAGGAAGGGAATTTCTGCGTGGATGTTAAATAACATGAAATGGGTTTGTTGGTAGCAGGTTAAAAAGTACGTTAAGGTAATCTAAGTTCAGGTATTAATTGGGGTGGGGTGTGAACAGATAATTTAGGATAGAGATAATTTGAGTTGCCGAGAAAGGGACTTTTTAACTCTGGCATTAATTCCCCGCCTTCACCCCTGACCCGAGAAACTTCCGTATAGTCTAAAAGGCGAAGCGAAAAAAAGTTCAGGTATTAATAATTATAAATAATTCCTTAACTATTGATCTCTGAGATCTTGATAGTGTTCATAATGCGACAACGTCTCTAAGATTCTTAATCATGTTGAACCTTTATTAGATAATTGCATTACATTTGTTTTAATGTTATTTAATGAGAGTGATGTACCGTTGCAGATCATGACGGACCGGAGGATGTCCCATTGGAGCAGCCTCACGATGGACACCAGCTACCTGAGGGGGTCCTTCGGAGACGCCTCCATGTCTAACTCACAGTCCGTCAGGAAAAGGCGGTACCAAGTGGTGAGTAGTCCATTGTCTTTGGCTTCCGATATGATTAGTTATAGCGTACCATCCACCAAGAATGAAAGGGATGCAGTTTAAGATCATAACAGCCAATGATGATTCTCAGTCTTCACAAACAACATCCCCTAAATACAAATTACACCAAAGCAATAGATAGATTTAGCGAAATGTGCTGTAACAATAATAATTTCAGCTTTATTCCACATCCTTAGTAGAACATAAAACCTCTCCAATGAAGATAGGAACCTGGTATTAACAAAATAAATAGTAATACAAATATTTTTAGATTTTTTTTATCAGAATATTTAGATATATTCCTTAGAAACTTCTTAAAACGGAATCCACTTTCAAAACAAAGTTAATAAAAAGTTCTTAATTTAATTGGTATTTATTATTTTATTCCAACTATCTCTATTCCTTGCCACAGTTGCCCAACAGTCACCCACTCTCTACACTATTTCTTCTCTCCATCTTGTGACAGGTCTTCCCCTTCTCCTATTGTTGTTCCTTAGAATCTATTTCGTGCCGTTTTTCAATCAGCTCCTTGAGTCTAATCGGACTGCATGACCATCCCATCTTCATTTCAATAAAACAGCTTCTTTTGATAGGCGTTTAAACTCCATCTGATTCCGTGCTCTTTGTTGCTAATTTTGTTTTTCCTTTTACTTCCTAGCATGTACGGCAAAATTATAATTTTAATTAAGCTCGTTATAATTTTTCCGGTTGTAGACCACGTCTGAACTCCGTATAAAATTATCGGATAAACAAATTTTGGAAATTCTTCATCGCTTAAGTTTTTTCTGCCTTGATCTGCAGTCCCAAAAATTCACATTGTACTAGGAGCTCATTGACCATTTAATTAATTTCTGTTATTGAGTTGGCAAAAATAACGATGTATGCGAATCTCAGGTTTGACAACTTAAACCCATTTATTGAATTATCACTCTCTTCTCAGTCCAGCTTCTTAAACCCCATAATTTAGTAAGGAGTTGAATAGAATATGGGGCAGTGGGCAGCCTTGTTTAACATCTCTTTCAATTTTCAGCTTTTTATTTTTTCCTTTCACGGCTATATAGGATCTACTGTTCATATACAGCGTGTTTTAGGGTTAAATGGCCAAACTGCAAAAATGAACTAAGGAGCTCAAAGCAAGAAACTAATTTCATCTGATGGTATGTCCGCAAACACATTGTTTAGGAGATATTCACACCTAAAGATTTAGATTTAAATAAAACCTATTTATTTGTTCAAACTACTTTATTAATTGAGTGTAAACATAATGGCCGTTCCAGTGCCTTTCTGCCACTGCTGCTGTTAAAGAAAGATGTCGAGCCCATCTTAATGCTCAAGGAAACCCCTATGAACAAGATTTAATATGAATGTTAATGTTTATATTTAATTAATAAAATATCTAGAACAAATAAATATGTTTTATTTTTTTCATATAACGTAAATAATTCATAACAACGAACATTTTTAGGTGTTAATATCTCCTAAACAAAGTGTTTGCGGACATATCTTCACAGGATTTTTTTTCTTGTTTTGAGGTCCTTAGTTCATTTTTGTAGTTTGGCCACTTAACCCTGAAACACCCTGTATATGTTTTCTAATACGTTAAAATAGATACTATCGATTCCCTGTTG